AATTTGTGTCCTGAACAATTAGATTTTACCTCTTCAGTGATAGCTTACTAATCAATCTGTGATGGGGATCTGGACTTCACGTCAGTGTTCTTCGTCACTGACGTAAATGATCTGTTTCAAATGATTGAGGGACTGATCGAGTTTGACGGTAATGGCGTGACCAACCGTGTATTGTCGAAGTCACGCTCCGCAATCAGTACATAACGTTGATTACCCCCTCAATCTATCCAGATACTATGGCTACTTTGATGATCGTACCACACAAACGACGTTTCTTCAGAAATACATTAGTAAGAGTAGGTACAAGGATCAGTATGACCACCACCACATGGACCAGTTCGTGCCATGCAATGCATTGATCTTCGTTAGTTGTTCTAGACTCTGGCGGGGATCGGTAAACCGTTCGATATTCAGTGACCGGGCTGCCAGATAATCTCACTAGATTCAATGACAATTCACTGGCTCTGAAACTTGATTATTACCCGCTTTCTACTTTCTTTTCCTAGTCTGTTCTCTTGCTTAGACTATCAGTTTTCTAGGTAAACTCACAAAGTACGATACATTTTACACCAGGTTCGATAGCCCAGAGCACAAACTCACTTTACGGTGCAGCTTGAGTGCAGGACAGTACAAGTTATTCAGTTACAACTCCAGCCGTTTATAGCGAGTCGAGTCAGTTAGCTAAACATATGTAAACTCATTTTGATTATGGTCGAAAACCTATAATATCATTAAAAGTTTTGACGTACGATAGCACCTTAATTAACGTGGGTTATGTACATTGAACATCAAGACAAATTTTGTCATCATGAAGTGACGACTCTGGTAATCATAGATATCATAAGGCTAACAGAAATTCTAAGAGTACCTGATAATACCGGATCCAGACTGAGATGGACAGTTTGCTACGAACAGCTACGTAGAGTTTGTAAACTCTGACCGATCCTGTTAGTTTAACTGTGCAACAACACCACCTCCACAATCAGTATAATACGTCGTTTCCTGAATCATCATCTCAGCCTACTTACTTTGTCTTCAAACTTCTTCGTTAGAAGATACAGGCACAACAATACTCACTGGCTACGTCGTGTTTGAAGCATTTTAAGTGTGGTGACTGGTGCGTGATACTACACAGGGCATTTTGTGAATTTGTTTTCGCACTTAAGTCTATATACACATCTACGGGGGTTTATATAGTTGTCTTTATTTTCTTTGGCCACCCGTCCACTTTCCATGCAAGCATATCTTCATCTTCGTCATATCAAGACATGGATGCAGAGTCGTTCGAGATAAAATATCTGCTCCCTTTACATTGAAGCTAATCACATTCCAGTATGCTTATATGGAAATGTCGTTCTAAAATGCTTTCTGACATTTGAGAGTATCGCTTGACTGAGTTTCCTACATTTTGAAAGTCATAACTGCACCAAATGAATATATAGGCCAGAATTGATTTCTGTGTTAATAATATTCTAGGACCCTATGAGAATCAAGGAAAAGTCGTTTCTGTTCTAACTCTTTATTTTAGGTTCGGCATTAACTTGCGATTATTGAGGGATTTGAAACAACTGAAGTACGTTGATACAATCGGTTCTCTTGAGTAAATGGTAACTGCAACTAGCGTACAATACTTCAAAACCTGACTTTCTGACACGTAAAAGATAAATTACAGTGAAAATATTTATTGGAGCTGGAACAATCATTATAGAGTGGGATGGTACAACTCTGCCTTTACAATCACGAAAATACAGCCTTCGAGTCTCCGAGCATTAAACGAACAAAAAGCAATGGCAACCAATCGAAAAAAGGTTCGATTCATGAAGAAACCTAAATTATAAAAAACCCGTATTTGTACTGTATGCCCACAAATCACATCAAAGCGGCTTTTACCGCAAACTATCTTTTCAGTCATCTGATTCACAATATCCTGTAGGGCCAGTATAATTTCAGTGGGTCCTAGCAAAGTAATGTGCAGACAAATCACTGAGTGTTGATCACTTCAACGACTTTTGTTAAGATCAGGAATAACTAGTGCCCACCATCCAACTCCATCTCAATGAAAGATGGGTGTCGCAGTCGCTTCTCCATGTACGTCTACGACCGAATAATACTCATTAATTCTATTGTCCGTTGAAAATATTCACTCAAGCTAGTTACTCCAGAAGTCGATTCACACGGCCATCACGACAGCGCATCAGGTTTCAATATTAGCCATGAGATATGACTAAAAAGCCAGCTGGGAGGTCACACCATTCTCACCAAATTCCAAAAAGCCTGAAACCATGGACACAGACCACATAATTTGGTGAATTACAACGTGGAATGACGTTGACACTATAGAATCTAAAGAAAACTTTGTAGTTACCTTTCGTGTCTTTTTATTAAGGTTTAGTAAAGCATACGGTGTTACGGATTTATGAACGGTAACAATTGGGCTTCTCTAATACGATCGGTTCACTTCGTAACTGACAACAGTCAATTATGCTTAACATAGCCAACCTCGACAGCTAAAACAGGTAGAAGATGGAGTTGCGGGTAACGTGATATATGTGGTTGAATAAGCAACTCAAGCGATATTGGCACGAAGATGGTTACTACAGTAGCAGGATAAGCCCTTCGAACATGTGGCAATTTAGCGAACTAAAAAACATGACAACCAACCAGAGGGCGAAGTTCATGCGGAAAATCTAATTGACAGAAAGTGTGGGAGCGGTCATCGTTCCAGACGAGATCTTAGCCCTTCTAATAAAATCTGACCATTCTTGCGGCCACCATAGCTTTAACATGATGTTATCCGTATACAACGTGACACTGATACCTAAACCTTTCTGTATAGCTCCCTCTTATAGATTATTGTTGTCATGGAAAAAGATTAGCTTTGTTGTCGATATGAAACACTTCATCCGCAGTGGGCGTCGACCATCGACATATGATGCAGGACACCACCATCACAGACACGCGAACTGTACTGGACGCAGATAAGCTCATTTTCATGAATTCCCACGGTACAGACCAACTTGCTCCAAACTGTGACTTTTTCATAAACCTCCAAACAACTGTCTCCAGCGAGAAACACCGCAAAGGTGGCAAACAGCTTAGGGTCTTTAAGACAATATAAGAGAACTTAGAAAGAAATTATTTGCGATTGTATACAAGTCTTTTCGGTTGGAAATGAAGATCACATTCTTAAATGCCACCAAGCTCTTCCGACACTGTGGACGACAAAGTAGGCGTGCGAACAACTAGCTTCGAAACTAGGCCTGGCAATGATGCACTCATTCATTGATTCACATTTTCCTCCTGGACTGGTTATACCTGGTTCATGTCTCGTAAGTTGTCCATCATTATCATTTTCCCGTGCCACCAACTTATTTCTACTACTCTTCTTGCCATTTCCACCATCATTTGTCCTTACACTTCGCTTTACCAAGACTGTCTAAATTACCAAATTATTCACACATCGTATCAGCATCTTATGGTGGACCACACAATATATGATTTCAAAAACAGTAACAGATTTATTAAGTACAAACAGTAATATATATCAGTTAAACGTTATAAACACAATAAAAACTAGAGACGTTACTTATTCCGGCTGACTTGTGCGCGTTCAGGTTGAGTTTGGTACCAAAATCCACAATTATATATGATTGAAGATTCCAGTGAGATTGATGTCCTTCCAGTGATATTGTAGAACTATGGTCTACTATGATATTAGTACTGCTCTAATAATAGACCTAACCCTAAATTTGTAGATTTGTCATGATATAACTGCCTAATCTATAAGATCTTACGTGGAAGTCACACCATCGACTACACCAACTGACTGTATCGTATCAATTACCAATACATGATGTAGAACAAGGTTAGGCTAGAGAAAGAACAATATATTTAATATGAATAGAAGATATAAGGTAACATTCGCCAGAGACCACGCCTGCATGGCCGAGCCATCCGATCAAACCTACTCCATTCAATTCCTTGTTCGCGCCTTCTCCATTGTTAGGTATTTCTCCGCGTTAAATATTGAATATCTATTTTCTGAGTAGTCTCGTATTCACAGCTTTGTGGATTGTGTGGCTATTGTCCAATGCCACTACAATATAACCAGGCGCAGAATATGGTCTAATCTGGTTGTAGTCTATATATGTAGACGGTAGTTGATTTAGAGTTCAGTTAACACAGTCACGAGCAGTGAAGAACGAAAGGTATGTGTATAGCAGTGTAGTTGTTAGTAGGTAACAACGTGTGTTATGCTATGAGTGTAACACGACGGAAGAAAGTGTGTTCAAGGTTATGCACTTAAACAATACGTGTAATCATTCAATGGTAAATGTAAAGGCTATGAAAAACTAACAGAATAAATACAACTAACATCATAAACTATTTACAAAATAAGCTTGTCATACATATCTCCACATAGCTCCCCCCAGAATGTCCGAAGGTAACACTGGTTATAATAACAACAACAAAAAATTGTGAGAGTATGGTGTATACATGTATGCAAAATAATATTTACTATAATAACCAAAAAAAAGAACGTGGAGATGGGTATGAACTGCACGTTAGTAATATACATTGTGATAGTGTACAAAGTAGTATGAATATAGGGTAGCACAACAAAAAATTGAGAATGCGGTCATTCACTGTCTTGTTTTGTTAATAATAACAATAACGTGCAAAGCTGTTAATAAACCCACAAAAAATTTGGATTATTTAATTTTTATATACAATTATTAAATAATTAACTAGAATTTACCCGTTCATTATTGTGACTATTTTTTAAAAAAACACGTGATAAAACGAGTAATTGTGAAAAATGTGATTAATTATATACACGTAAGAAAAGAAGAAAAAATAGTAGATTTTATCGAGAAATTGAGTGAATTGAGCAGTGTGATGTTGTCATGCCTATCTCCACAATCTGATGAAATCAACAAACGTATAATATGTTGAATATGTCTTGTTTTACCGCATCCAAACTCCCTGGTAGTTGGTTTATTAGATTGATGACATTTCGAAAATGGTCGCTATTCCACATTTAAATATTTGACACGGACTGTATTTGGTCGAACAGACATTCGATGTAGATGAGTTTTTGCATCATTTACGTTCTGGTTTTCAGTCCTCATTATTTACAAGGAAGATAAGGTTGCAAATCGGTATGTAGTTTGTGTCATAAAATAGGTCTACATTAATGAAGAAATATTTGTCAAGTAGTTATATAGTCATTTTATGTTCAACGTAAAAGGTGCACTAAATTCATCTTGATGCTAAGGATCCTCTATATTTCTCAGAATTATTGAGTACATCTACTCAACAGTACTGATGTAGCAGATCAGTACAGTAGTGCGAAATTGAGACAGTCTCTCAGTCTTAGGTGAAATGATGCAAAGGAAGATTGTTAAGTGGGTTTCTTTAGCTGTCAGATGATTTTTATGTTAATGAAGTGTTTTTTTCAAACTGCTGTATGTATTGTCGGTTTTGCAATCTCAACGTTTGGAAGGCAACAAGGAAATCGCTAGTTTTTGAGAAAAGCATATATTTTCGGGAAGGTAAAAGTGTTAATTTTGTGACGTATTTTACTTGGATGAGGAAATTGCGCACTACCTGCATCGGTTTGGGGAAAAGGCAAAGTTTTGATGCACTGTCGCCTATATTAATACCGGATACTTAAAAATTTGCCGTCATTTGCCCCTTTTTGTTGCTTGGGATGACTGATTCCCATTGATGTTCTAGAAGTTTATACAACAAATGAAAAACCAGTTTCATTTGTCGCTGCTTTAAATGAGACAACAATTTATAGACGACCTTTGAGCAAGCAAATTAGTGAATGAATTTCTCTCCAAAGTTCAAGACCTGCTATCTTAAATGTGTCTGGTTCGTCTCGCCTCATCACTAATTTTACAGGTACTCAACTCCAACAACTGTTTATAAGAAGAATAATTCTTGTAGGGGTAGTCATATTACAACTTTACTGCATGCAGTTAAGAATGCAATCTCTGCTTGCGGTGCATGCAAACATTAGAATTTGTTCGTTAACACTAATTAATTTACTTCAAGTAAATACGGTGAATGGCTTAAGATTGTACTCGATTGTACTGTTCCCCATGACAGCAGTTCACCATCTACTCTCCATATTAGTTTGTCGCTAAAAGAGTTTACCAGTATTTATTATCTTTGTTATGACCACGTATACACCAACTTACTTCTTAACGCCCGTTTCTTGTTTCGGTACCGTTCCAGGTCTTGTGATATTCAGTGGGCGATACCCTAGCCAGGTTGCCTAGTGTTATCATTGATCCCCTAGTATTTCATCTTGATACGGATTCTTCATTGTAGGAATTTATTAAGTTCCTTACTAAATCATATACCTATTGTTGCAACCTGATCTTGTAGTGTTCTCGAAGCTCGAGTGACAAAGATCAAAAACGTGTGGTTACGTAGCTAAAAGTTATTCACTTTCATGTGACGTAAAATTTCATCATAGAATATCATTTTCGTTTCTGAATTTCATCACTACCTAAATGAGTTTCGTTATAGTTCCTCGAGGTTGATGTTATAAAATAATTTCTCCTTGAAAGGTGCTACCTAGACACTAATGTCATGCTTTACTTATAGTATAAAGCTGGTTTCAAATTCCTGTCATATAAGACAATCTTAATTTGGATATACTAGGCAGGTTTCATAGAATCCCACTTGATAAAAAATGTCTCTAAGCATACATGTATTCTTGGTAATGAAATTTACGCTTTTTTGACTGACTGAGGGTTACAGCTTAACATCTACCAGATGTGTTTCCATTATTGCCTCAATTGCTAAAACTGCGTATTTTGTTGTTTAAACCTTAAGAAACTGGAAAGTTTTTAAATCTCGATGGAATATAAATGAGATTTCTTAAGGAAATTGTGGGATTCTTTCACTACTTTTTAGCACTAATTATTTCTAAGGTTTGCTTCTACTAGGAAAAAACTGAGCAGAATGGTACCATGTAATCCCTTTTATAAAAACTATAATGCTTCTTATTCTTGCTAAAAAAGATGGGTTGTAATTTTATTGGTAATCGTGTTCCGTCAAAACAGTATCGTTTATGCATAATAACGGCATATATTTCCTGAGTTCCACTTACGGCTTTAAGGATCTCCAAAACTACTTTGATTTTAAAGTCGTTCGAAAAGCTCGCTTGGCTTTTGCCAACTTGCGTCACCTTTGGCGAAGGCGAGATATCCGTCTATCAATAAAAGGACGAGTATACTGCGCGGCACTCCGTTCTGTTTTAATTTACGGCAGCGAAACATGGCCTTTAAGAGTAGAAGACACTTGTAAGCTACTAGTATTTGACCACGGATGCCTCAGAAATATTGCTGGCATCTGCTGGGATCACCGGGTAAGTAATAGTGAGGTTATACGCAGGGTATTAGGGAATGATGGTAAATCAGTTGATGAGGTAATGAATCTTCATCGACTGAGATGGTTGGGCCACGTGTTACGTATGCCTGAACACCGATTACCACGACGTGCAATGCTATCCGGTATTGGAGATGGTTGGAAGAAAGTTAGGGGTGGCCAAACCAAAACGTGGCATCAGTGCTTGAAGACACTAACTTCTAGTCTGAGCCATGTTGGTAGATGCAGACTACTTGGTTGGGATCCGCGTGACTTTCGTAACCAATGGTTGGAGACTCTTGGTGACATGGCTCAGAATCGATCACAATGGCGTCGGTGTATACACTCCCTGTCTTCCCTTAAACTAAGAGATTAAAATCACTTCATATCTTTCTGTCTACGAACCAATTCTTTCTTGTACTATATCTCTATATGCAATCTTTCTCTTATATATTACCACCTTTGACCTAACCACTGCTATGAATCCGGTGTTCATCTTGTTGTGCTGATGCGGTATGGCAACCTGGACCGATGCACATATGTGCCTGGTTCTACGTTGTAGATGACTGACTGACTTAAAGTCGTTTAAACTTATGAGACATTGTCACAGAAATTTCATCGCGATGAATGGAAGTGACTAGTTGGATTGTCGATACTATGGTATATCTAAAATTGTCCAATTAGATTATTTATATCAAATAAGCACTCTATGGGGATGTTCTGTCTTCTACCCAAACAGGAGGCTTTTGTCAACTATGTGTTTTTTTTTTCAAAATAATATACTTAAGCTCATTTTCCTGGATCTTTTATAACTCATCCATCTTTATACATGTTCCTCATTGAAATTCCTATCCTCAAAATTTAATTAGTGATATACCATTTGTATTCATGCTTTGTAAACCGTCCATGTGTCTTCTACCTAAATTCTATTGAAATGTTACAGGTCCAATGGCTTTTTTCAGACTTGTTAGTTATTTTCCTAGGCCATCTTAATAATGGAAAATGTGCGATTTACAAAACTAGAGAAGCAAAGAGAACTTCTTCGCAACAAACAAAGGCAAAAGTATGCACACCAAGTGTTGTCACTTCAAAAACGTACAGAAAGTGCTGGTATCAGTAGTTGTAAAGCTAATAGCTGGAGAGAAAACAAATCATCAAGTCAATCGGCTTTAGGTTTCCCAATAAAAGGTAGAACTGGTGAAAATTATTATGGTAAGTCTTCTCAAACGATTGTCATTGTAAGCATTATGAAGGTTTAACCAATGTTTTGCTGTAATTTTATTCTAGTTGTTGTTGAGTGATGATTTATCTAGATTTCTTTCAGCTGCCCAAATTTTCCTCGGCATACTCTGGATGTAACATCAAAAGTTGGGCGACGATTTGGATGACATTGAGATGTTTTATCTAATATTGTAAAATTGCTTTATATCTTTCTTTCTACCAACTGATTCTCCCTTTACTATATCCTTATATTCAATCTGTGGTGGACCAGACAGATATGAACGCGAAAAGTATTAACAAAGTTACTAAAGATCAATAGTAATATTAATATATACCAGTTAATTGTTACAAATACAATAAAAATTTGGAACGTTACTTAAATTGACCAAATGTTGCGTGTTCTGATTGTGTCCGGTATTGTAAATCCACACTTATAAATGCTTGGTGATTCTGAACGGGTTGACGAACTCTCCAGTGATATAATCCAACGTCGAATGTGGTATATTCCAATTACAGTCTGTAAATAATGATAGTATTTGATTTAGACTTCAGTTAACTCAATCACAAACGAAGATAGAACGAGGAATGTGTGAGTAGTAGTGTATTTGTTAGCCAGCAAGAGTATGTCACGCTATGTCAGTATCATAACGGAAAGTGTGTTCAAGGTCATTTACTAAAAAAATAGTTACAGTCATTTAATGTTAAATATACATACAGTGGAAGGTTGACAAAATAAATACAAATAACATTGAAAACTTTATAAAATAAGCTTGTCAGGCCTATCTCCACATAGCTTCCCCCAGAGTATTCGGAGGTAACACTGGTTATAATTAAAAAAATGTAAGGATATGATATATACATGTATACAAAAATAATATTTACAGTTGTAACTAACAAACATGTGGAGATGAGTATGATATTTAGCAGAGATGTAGAATAGCATAAAAAACACAAAAAAAAATGAAAACACTGTCATTTAATGTATTGTTTGGCTAGCAATGATAATAATAATGTGCAAAACTGCTAATGACCCAAAAAAATTGAACTGTTTATTTTTGTGTACATAAATAAGTAATTAAATAGACTTTACTCGTTTGTTATAGTGACAAAAAAAATTTTTCATAGAAAAAATAAATGTGACAAAACGAATAATTGTGGAAAAATATGGTTGTGTACACTGTGAAAAGAAAAAATTTTTTGGGTGAAATTAGTTGTGTGGGACGTCGGTAGGTGTTTGCTTATTTTCGTTTTGTTTTAATCGACGAAATGGACATAACGCTTGGACTTGTTTATAAGTCTACCGGAGCGTGTTAAACAAGAAGACTTAGTATTAAGTTTTTTATCCTCCACTGGTTTTTCAGTCACTGGTGGGAGGGGTTGTTTGTCAACGGCGTTGTTTTTTTTACTTGAGTAGCTTCATAGAAAGCAGGTTTTATTCTGTCTATAGAAATGGTCTGCTTGTTGCCATCTCTGTTGATGATGAAGTATTTTTGTGTGCGTTTAGTTACTTTATATGGGCCTTCGTATGATTGTTTTAATGTTTTTTTAACCGCATCTACTCGGACGAAGACAAATTCGCACGTCTCAAGGTTTTTATCAAGTTGGACTCGATAGTTGTGCTCGTGAGGGGATATTGCTTTAATATTCTGCATCGTTTGTAATAGGCGACTTGCGAAGTGAGTAGAATCCCCGGGCGTTGTAGGTTCATAGTTGACTAGTTGACCAGGTAACGTTAGAGTTGTACCATAGACTATTTATAAAATAAGCTTGTCAGGTCTATCTCCACAAATCTTTCTTTTATACATTACTACCATTGATGTGATTACTTCTATGGATTTGGTGTTCATCTTGCTGTGCTTATGAGGTTTGGCAACTTGGACAGATCCATATATGTGCTTGGTCCTGCGTTGTAGCCGAATGAATATTTGTAATTACTAGTTAGTAAAACTCCCACTATTTCAATAAAAAGGTACGATGCTTGTATTGTGGGATCATTGATCTGGGATTAAGTTGTAGTAAGAAGTAACGACGTGACTGCTTAATAACACAATATCTGTTTATTGTAGGATAATACGGAATCAAGATTTGGGATTACATTACATCATTTTTGATGGTGTCTGTTATTCATTGTGTGCCTTTCATTTACTCAGACTAACATTTGCGCTATTTTTCGACCCGTTTGACCGTCTCTTTATTTCTTGAGTTCCTTTCAAAACATGGTGATTTTAACTGTTTTCGGGAATTTTACCTTTACAATACAAATAAACTGATTGATCGTGTTTTCAATTCACGTATTTTAATCTGCTGTGCTGAATTATAGTTATTTTTGCTAGACTACATACATTTCTTAAATTTAGTGGAAAATTACGTTTAAGTTTATCAATTACGTTTGGTTTACTAGTCTTTTAAAGAAACGATCTTTTTGTTGATTAAGTTAGTGACATTTAGCTGGAGATCGTTTATCCCAAACAGCTTCACAACATAGAATACTTCCATTCACTATTATAAAAGCGTAGACAACTTCCGTTATAACCTGTGGTAGAACGCGTTTTAAATTAAGTTTAATAATATTGACCAGTGCTACTATATGTCGTTTCAGTTGTCAGACTGTTTTCCTTTTTATCTCTTCTACACTTATCAGTATAAACTACCGTGAAGTTCGATTTGAAGATCTCATCGTTTCGATTTAGTGTGGCTTTAGTCCACCTATGCTCAAATAATTATTTCACCCTGTATAAATGTTTTAGCATATGACGGTCCGCAATCATGTGATACATCAAACCCTGATGATTTTCCTACAAGTGAAGTTCAAGTTATTCATGTACTCACAAAACCTACTCCTTTGGGACAACCAAGGTTTGATCAAACAGTAAGGCGCAAACCAAACTCTGAAGCAATACAAGATAATGGAGTGGATAGTGAAGATTACAAAAGTACTGATAGTCTGAATAATCTAACCATCACACGGTCGAGTACTATGTTGTCTTCTCTTGACCAAGATACCTATCTGGCTTCTACTGGTAAGTTATTCAAATTACGCATAACTTAAAGCTTACAGTCGATGATATTGAAGTTTTTTGGGTAAAACACTTAGAAATGTGACGGAATCCAAAATAGATAAAATAACATATTTCTAATGTGGTTTTCCAGAGATTTTGTTCAATTTAAAGGTGATTTTCATTACAGGTTGATCATTTGGAGTAGATTTAGAGTACTTTGTGATATTCGAACTAAAATTTGGTACATTTCTTGGTTTTCTGTTGCATTAAATCTCTCGAGACTTAAATCAGTGAAGGTAATCAAACTAAAGCATTATTCTAACTCATAAATTCATTGATTCCTTGTTTCAATCTTTTTAGACAATAGGGTTCCTAAGTGATATAGAAAAGAATATACAATGAAGGTTTAAGACATGGCTTACAAATCATACCAACGAGACAACTTTTAGATTTAAAAACTGACCATATAAAAAACCTAGTCGTTTGTGTCTTCCCCAAGATTTTCTTAATATTCCAGTTGCCTGGTTTCTTTTCTTTTTTTCCCAACGACTGTACTCATCTTCTACAGCATCGTTACAAATAAAGTATTTTACCATTGGTTTTATCGAATAGAAAAGCTATTTATATATATATATTTATTTATTTGAACACATAAATATTGGTACAAGAGGGCACCAAATATATATGCGCCACACAAAACGATGAGGATTCGAAGAGAAAAAAGAAGAACAATAACGAACAGGTTAGTGTAATAGTAATAAAAAATAATAATAATAATGGGGGAAACGGGAAGGTACGATCAAAAGAAATCTTTCAGTTAAGGAAGAAACAACCATTTTTTATGAAGAAAGTTAAAGAAGGTTCCAACAGGATCGCCACTGACTTCTATTCTGAGCCTTATCTAATAACGTCTCTAGCCATTGTGTTGCACCATCTCTAGGACCCCAGTCAGGGAGTCGTGAGGAACCAACAGAAGCCAGCCCTTTGCAGCTTTCTTTCATACCCCGGCACTATGTCACACATTGACCACCTCTCCGCTTTTTCCAACCAGTCCCAGAGTCGGCAAATAATGCACGACGTGAAATTCTCTGGGACGACATCCGTAGAACATGTTCAAGCCACCGAAGTCGGTGTTTCAAGATGGTGACAACAATCGAATTATCGTCTTTGCGCTCGAACACACGATCCCAGAGAACAGTCCTATCCAACGAATCGAAGGCAGCCCTGATGTCAAGAAACACTACGATTGTTGGCCTTTGATAAGTATGAAGGTGTTCTAACATTTGGTGGAGGGTGAAGATGTGATCAATACATCCTCGACCGGAACGGAAATCAGCCTGCTCCTCGCGAGCCAATCTTTCTCGGGTTTTGACCAACCTACGAAGTATGAAGGAAGCCAATAGCTTGGATGCAATCGGAAGTAGACTTATCCCCCGATTGTTGTTACAGGAACGACGTGAACCCTTCCTAAAGATAGGGACAACTATCGACTCATTCCATGACGTTGGTACACTCTCTAGCTCCCAGACCTTTGTAAACAACGTCGTCAGTTCCTTAGCCAGAAAGTCACTACCATCTTTAAAAAGGACCGGAGGTAAGTCATCTGGGCCCGGTGATTTGTAGCGCTTCAAGAGTTCCTTGAGAACTTCCGCCTCATTTGGTGGACCAGTCGTCACCGGCCATGGAGGGCAGGACAGTCCGACCGATGTTGCCGGAGCAGCAGACCACTTGAACTGCGCTTCGAAGAATTCTGCCTATCGTCCAAGACGTCGTTGGATGTCAGTGATTGGCATTCCATCATCCTCACAGATTGTTTCACTCACACCAGACTTCTTGCTGCCAGTGGCTCGGATAAGCTGGAAGAGCTTTCGGTAATTACCAGATGCAGCTGCTGCTTCCAGATCATTAGCACGCTTCGACCACAAGGCTTTTCGGTTCTTACGCAAGCTTTGCCCGATTTCCTTACGTAACATCCTTCGTTTGTGGTCAAACTCACGGTCACACGGCGTGAAACGATGGGCTTCGATGAGTTATAAGAAGCCTGAAGAAACCTAGTGCTTACAAGCGGGACGTTTCGCGAAACCGCAAGGGGCTTTACTGGCCATTTTCATGGCGTCATGCAATTGCATCCAATGCTCACCTATACTTTCCGGTGGAATGGTAGCTAGCCTAGCAGCTAGCTCGGTTCGATACTTACTAGCAACAGAAGTTGCAACCAGCTTGCTAACATCAATCCGTTGGTGGCGGTCACTTCGTTGTCCACTGAAAAGTGAGGTAAGATTGGCGGAAAGAAGGACATGATCACAGCTCATATAAGTGCTCCAAAAGGAGCGGCAGTCTTGTGCACAACCACGCCAGTAGTAGCTGATCGTTATGTGATCAATCCGAATCCAGGCTTGAGATACGGAGGGAGGACGCCAGGTGGCACATAGGCGATGACTGCGCCGGAAGTTAGTGCTAGCCAGAAACAGGTTGTTGTCTGTGCACAGTTGCAGTAGACGGTCCCCGTTATCTGTCCTGCGACTAACAAGTCCACATCGGCCACCTAAACGAATCTCTTCTGTGCCTAGACGCCCAATCTGAGCATTTAAGTCTCCGGCTGGTAATACAATATTTGTAGGACGCACTTTCTGGAGAACAGTTAACAACTGGTGGTAGAATTCATCCTTGATTGCATCCGGGCTGCAATCTGTCGGAGCACAGGCGGAGATAACGAAAAGACGTCGTTTCTCACGCCGATTTTTTCTCACTTTGATGGAACTTTCTAATCTAACAGCACATAACCGACTGTTAATGAGGATTCAGTCGATTAGTGCTGCCTCAGCTCTAGCGCTTAGTGCGACACCAACGCCAGCAAAACTGGACGAAGATGCCACAGGGTCCACGGATAGACGCACGTAAAAGAAGCTTTTTGAAGCGACAGATGGAGAGCTAATTTGTAGTACTTCACCAGAGTCTTGAGTAGGGGTCTCGGATAGACAACAGACGTCGATATTAAGACTTTCCAAAGACATAGCCAGCCCTATCTGTTGTCCGACCTGCATAAGTGTGCGAACGTTGAAGGCAGCCAGTTCGAATGGTGCACGTGGTTTCATAAAAACTGCTTCAGTATTCGTATTTGGTGGTAGCATACAATTTTCAATCAGGCAGTGGCTCGAGAGCGTTTAGATAGAACCGAGTTTCCACCATAAGCGAGCTGCTGTATAAGTCGAAAAATAAGGATACATAGAGCGGGAATGAGAGTGAATAAATGACTTAGTAAATAATAATAATAGTAATAATAATAATAATATTAATAATAATAATAATAATGTGAACCGTTTGACTGCTAGTCGAAGCAAGTAAAGTATTTTCCGTAACTATCGTCCTTTCATTCTGTTTGTGTGTGGGCTGTGATACTGCCCAAACCGAAGCACTTGGTTTTATTAGGGGGCCACACCCCGCGCCCTTTACCTTAAGATCTGACCCACAAGGCAGTGGAGCATCGTGAAGAGATGCAGTTCCATGGTAGCCGGTGACCAACGATTGGTTCATACGCCATTTGTTCCCTCAGGATACTGGAGCCCATGTGCACCATTGGTTTGGGATCCGGTTAAAGCACCGGACATTCGCTTTTTGTCCTCTCATTTTCGTAAACAACACCCCCTCCACGAGAAGTTAGTGAGTAGAGTAGGACTTCCCTGGCGGAGGCTGTGTAAGCGTGGCTGTGTGAGAGCATGTCGAGAGGGAGGGCGGGCCCACCCCACTCTCTGCCGTACCAGGGCATTTGAGGGCGACAAACAACATAATATTCAGAAATGTAGCACTCAAAATGTTAGTGGTTCTCCTAAATTCATTAATTAACAGTTAACATAAAAACATATAGGCTACACAATTCGAGAGACGTAGAAAAGTTAATAAATAACTTCAAAATCCAATCAGATTACTTCTTTTGTAGACGAAAAATGTTACCATTGTAATCTGAATTTTTAAGACTTCACCGAATAATTTGTAACCTTATATACAGTTTTCCTTAGATTTCCGTTATTTCCAACAAATGTATTTATCGAAATATTTGTAAAAATTCCTGAAAGCTGATAAATCACTCATCCATGTAGTTTTTGTAAAGCTTATGACACATTTAGTATTAGTGTCCCACAATAAATGCATCAACTATTTTTTTGCTCGTTATCATTATCCTTAGAATAATGTAATAGACAAGGATCTTTTCGAAACATGGAAATATCCGACAATTTCCCAGCTTTAGATGCGTTTTTTATTCTGCTTTTATTTTTAGTAATCGTTGGTTGTGTGATCGCATCGTAGTAATGAAATCAAGAAACTAGATTTTTACACAATTTTTCACGGTTTTTAAGACATTAAAATTTCTGATAATGCATGCGAATCAAATAGCCTAGTCTTCAAGGCGAGTATAATCCCTTAAATTTTATAATATTATAGGAACAAAATATAAATGATTTAGGGTAAGGAATGAGAATGGAAAATAATAAGAAATATTTATGGTTAGTAGATTTGTAATTTGCTCAGGTTGTTGATAATTTTGTTCAAGAAAAACAATAAATTTGGGGTACCTAGCCTGTCGTAGTCCCTGATGGTGTTCTCATAGCTTTCGGGTTGCCTGATCTGCCAAGGGCGATGAGACAGTGCATGATGCTACTGTTGTGTGCTAGGTTCAGAGAGAATTGCAAATCCGCCCCGTTACTGTTCCTATTCTCGACCGTAGCCGCTACCTTGACGTTGTGGTCGGGCTTGCCTATCGTGATGACCCAACCGAGCTATATTGGCTGGAACATATGTTTCTGTAGGTTCTACCATGCCAGGCAGGTCGATTGGAGAACGGTAAGACTAAAAGCAGCAACTCATAGTCTGAGGGCGAAGTTGTACTGCCGACTGTAGAGAGGTGTGGCAGCAGTAAGGTGTTTCCCTCGGACAACCAGCATCTGCAGCGATGCTGCCTTCTCACAAGAAAGGAGGGGTTAGAAATGGTTGACCCTTACCTCACGGATTTCCCTCTCCGGTGGTAAGGCCATTTGAAGAACGGAGCTAACACATCAAAAACCTCCCACAAAAAGGCCGTGCGCGACCGGCCTCAAGCAGTTGTCCCTTGGGCTCTGCGGTCACGCTCCCAGGTCGTTAAGGCCGACATTAATCCGACTTCCTTTTCAGGTTCCTCTAGAGATACCCTTCTACGGTGTGGGCAACCGGGAAGTGACATCAGCCCTCATACCCGTAACAACACACGAGACCAAGTTGGTCACATTCAAATCCTTCCTACACCTCTTAATACCTCTCTTATCTCCCCGCCTAACCCCTCTCACGTCCTTTTTTCACCTCGCACCGCTAGGGCCAACGATTTGAGTACACGGAACGTTATTCCTGGTCTCCTGAAACCACGCTCTAAACTACATGTAGGAGCTTTTAACGTACGAACACTGTGCCAAATAGGACAACAGGCTTCCTTAGCTAGGACTTTAGAATCCCGCGCCATCGATGCGTGCTGCGTCTCCGAAACGCGCATACAGGACCCGAGTAGCGTCATTCACTTGACATCACCATGTCAAAACAACGAACCAACTCGATTCACACTTCGTGTATCTGGAGGCCCAGATTCTGCTTCTCGTGGACTCGCCGGCGTAGGTTTAGCATTGAGTCCTAGGGCAGAACAAGCTCTCTTAGACTGGATCCCAGTAGACAGTCGTGCGCTGTCCGACTAAACGTAACAGTAAGGATCCGAAAAGATAGGGACACTCGTCGTGGTCTCCGAAACGCGCATACAGGATCCGAGTAGCGTCATTCATTTGACCTCACCATATCATAATAACACTGGATCTCATCAACCGCACTGATAGATGCTCGAAAAGTCATCCCACCTGGCTCTAAACATAACGAAGAGCGGAGTCAGCGTAAGCGCAGACTTATAAGAAGCCTACGCAATCATCGCGAATAGTGGTTGGTAGCGAAAACAAGAGAGATGGAAAAGGCAGCGGCAATGGGTAACACCAGACCATTCTTCACACTTGTCAAGGAAACTGGTATTAGGAACCCAGCTGTTAACGAAACTATCTCTGAAAAAGATGGACATATTATTCATTCTCAATCCAGGAGATTGGATCGATGGGCAGAACACTTTATGGATCACTTCAACTGGCCTTCAGCCACACTTCGGTTTCCCATAATCTTCAGTCGACCTGGATGGCAAGGTAATGTAAGTCCTCCAACTCTTTACTTGGTTGAAAAAGCTATAAGAAATCTAAAGCATGATAGAGCAGCAGGCCCTGACAGGTTTGCCCCTGAGGTTTTCAGATATGGCGGTCCAGTATTAACAGTGAGATTAACTGAAGTCTTAGGTAGAATCTGGGAACTGGATGTAATCCCATCTGACTGATCTCAATCACTGATTGTGCCAGTCTATAAAAAAAGAACAAAAGTCCTGTTGTGACAATCATAGAGGAATCAGTTTGACTAACATAGTGTCTAAAATATTAGCTTCAATAATACTTTGACGCCTAACCAAAGCTGGTGAAGAACATGTTAGAGAAAACCAGACTGGTTTTCGACCTGGACGAGGTTGTGTAGACCAGATATTCACACCACGTCAGGTCCTAGAGCATAGATAGACATTCAGACGCCCCACAATCGTGGTATTTCTCGACCTTAAGACAGCATTCAACTCTGTTGATCGTGAGGTTCTATGGTAGTGTTTGTCACTGAAAGAAGTACATTAACCTTATAAAGGCTCTCTACTCGAACATAACTGGTCGAGTGAGAGCTTATGGCGAACTGTCATCAGAATTGATTATCTCAAGTGGTGTTCGTCAGGGCTGCCCACTCTCTCCACTCTTGTTTAACTTTGTCATTGACGTGCTTTTAGAGATAACACTTTCCTCATCTAAATTTCCAGGAGTTGAACTTTTACTTGGAGATTCACCTATTGACTTAGAATATGCGGATGACATTTGGTGAAGACGCTGACGGAATGCAGAGTCTTCTGACCACTATAAACAGCAATGCAAGGATGTTTGAGGTGCGATTCTCCCCCTCGAAATGCAAAATGTTGCTTCAGGATTGGGTTGCATCCACACCCGAAATAATGATAGGAAGTGAAGTAGCTGAGCGTGTTGACCGTTTCACTTAACTTGGAAGTCTCATCAGCCCTTGTGGTCTGGCGTTTGACGAAATCTCAGAACGGATACAGAAGGCTCGACTAGCTTTTGCCAACTTGCGTCATTTACGGTGTAGGCGAGATATCCGTCTATCAACCAAAGGACGTGTTTACTGCACAGCAGTTCGTCCCGTCCTACTCTATGGCAGTGAAATATGGCTGATAAGAATAGAGGATGTTCGTGGGTTACTAGTATTCGATCATGGGTGTCTTCGAAACATTGCTCGTATATCCGGGGACCACCGAGTAAGCAATGCAGTTGTTAGGAAATGGGTACTATATAAGGATGTCAAATCAATTGACGAAGTAGTGAAACTTCATCAGTTGAGATGGTTTGGACATGTGTTACGTATGCCCAACCACCGACTGCCGCGACGTGCAATGTTTTCTGGTGTAGGAGTAGGTTGGAAGAAAGTTAGGGGCGACCATACCAAAACATGGCACAAATCCACGAAGTCACTGACAAGTGGACTGCGTCATGTTGGTAAGTGTAAACTACCTGGTTAGGGACCGCGAGATGATAGCAACCGATGGTTAGAGACCCTGAATGACATGGCTCAAAATCGTTTGCACTGGTGCAAGTGCATCAACTCTTTGTGTCTTCCCAAATTCTAATCTCTTGAATTCTCCTTTTATCGTTTTTTCTCTTTCCAAGTTTACTTCACTGGATTATACTCCTTGAATAACATCTTCAAACCCTGATCTTTCCGATTACTGCTTATATTCTTACTACCTCTACCACTATGGGGTTTAAATCGACAATTACATCTCCGTGCTAATGTGGTATGGCAACTTGAACTGATGTACGTACGTACGAAGTTCTACGTTGTTACTGACTGAGTATTTGAGCGTTATTCAGCTACCAATACGCGATATGATGAAGTGTTACTGCATCATCCGGATAATTTCCGAACACTTCCTTGGTACACACATAATTTATTTCTACTTATCGAAGGGCTCTCTTGTAGCAGTTTAGGTTTCTACACATGAAAAATAATCACTCAACTACTCTATACTTTATACATTTCTGGCTTAATTTTTTTGATTGGTGCTTCTGGCTGGGATAGATCCATGATAGCTTATTGATTTTAGGTGGTTTATAGCCTCTACATTGCTAATATCCTATTTAATTATATATTTTAGCGATTTGAGTATTGACAAGTTAAATGATTTTGTTTTAGTTTACCATATGTATATTCATTCCCTGAAGATGATATCAATCTAGTCAAAATACGACTTTAGCCACAAATATATTAATGAAAGTGTTTTGATATGTACAGAATAATCCAAAATACACAACACCTATATTATGTCAGTGCAAGTTTTCACGTTACATATATTCGGGTAAAAGTCTCTGAAAATAATTCCATTGTCGAGATTAACTTTCATGAGAATTTCACGTCTACAGCTTACCACAATATGGCATGGTACCTTCTTGCACTATGAAAAAGCTAGAATATAGACTTGATGCACAAATCATGACCAACTAAAGTGTATCAAAGAGGTTCACAAAGGTGTGCGTTATTTAGTTGATTATCAGTAAAATGATCAGATTGATTAATGTTTTTCAGACATTTATTAAGGATTGTTTCGAACGAGTGTATCTTCATGTACGCTAATTATTTTCACGAAGTGCTGTTACGAAAAGCTAGTGTTGAAAATTATTCTTTAATGATGAAAAGTATAAAAGTTATGTGTCGGTAATCTTATCACCAGCCTATTGGTTATCATTTAGATTCTAGTTCTAGTGTAAAATTTAAAATGATCATAAATGATCTGGAATTTCACTTTAAGTAGCTGTTCACTCTGCGTTCTTTTTAAGTACATAATATACGTATGCCAGATCGCAGGCTTTTTGTGTTCGTTCGATCTTCACTATTAGTACTGAAGTCTTTATCTGTAAATCGTACCTGAATTTTGTAGAGGATAGTGATGGCGAAAATGAAATTGCGGAGTCTCACCCTGGTTTTATGACTCAGAAACAAGTAGTGAAGATATCTGACAATCCCAATAGTCATCTTCATAAGGATAGTTATAGCGGAGTCACGAATTTTACCAAATACAACAGCGAAAACTCGGATACTGGTAATAATGCGAATCCTGTTGAGAAGGTTAGTCCTATATATCACATACCAGTTTTGAGTTTATAATGTAACATGAGTATTTGAATTTTTCTATTTGAAACAAAATATTTATGAAGCTGATTGGTGCTTTGTGCGATAACAATGGTAATAAAAACTTGTATTTTCTACTTACACCGAGAACGCTACTAACATAACTCACATTAGATATACAGTGACACTGATTTGTTCACCTGAAAATTCTGTCCCGAACTATCAGCGAGAACAGCATAAAGCTAACGATGTACTCAGGCTTAAAACTCACACTGTGCAAGTTCGCATTTATGCGTTGGATGGGTTAGGATATTATTAAAATTCCATAAATCAGTTGTTCAGAATACATGCATTATAGATATATATCCTGAAACACACAACAATGTGTTCCATAGTTCCTCCTTTCCATTTATAAGAGGCCCGTTCAATTAAAAGCCTACTTTGCACATGACGATTGAAAATATTACTTATCATCCTTAAATAGCCACCAATGTGGTTTCCGGTAATAGCTTTAATACGAAGTTGTTAATTTTGGCGAAGTATCTGATGTTGTTCACTGAATCAAAGTTTATAATTTTCCCATCTCCACTTTTGTTTCCTCATACTAAGAATTCTTCACAAATAAATTATCTTATGTGTTAACGCTGAATCCCTAGATGAATCAGTACTGAAGGTGATTAGGGCTTTCCTTCTCACAGTAAAATGATTGGTAAAGCATATAAATTATCCGCATACTGTAAAGTTAGTTTTTGATGGAATTTATTAAGTCACCTCAACTATATTTTGCAGACTTTGGATGGGGAGCGTAGTTATCAGAATTTTCGTAATGGCCGAAAAGTCCATGCCCCACTAGCTGTTCTCGTGAATCGGTCGAATACATCTTCACTTAGTGGTTCTTTGACAACTATGCAATACGTTAGCAATGCCATTAAAGGGAATAAGTCGAATGTCGAACAAGTCTTAACGACCCTTGAGAATTCTTTAGACTTATCGGAAAACCTCTGCCAGAAAGCAATTTTAACCCAAATATTGGATCACTCTGGAAAACCTAATGTTAGGAGATCTTGGGATTCTTCTTCAAACAAGGTAACATTTTCAAAATATGAACTCTGCTCAAACTATTTCACTACCCTCCGTAAGATATAGTTCACAAATGAGAGTATAATTATTTCACTGTCATCTAGTTGTTGTAGTTTTCTAATGAGTCTCCAGACAACCTGTGTACAATATGATGTGAAATAAGGAAATTCCGACTCATAAAATACTTCATGTTGACCTACTAAAATCTCAAAGGCTATTATTGTATTAAGTTCATATGAAAAATTGTCACACTTCTTAATGACAACAAAAGGCGACAGTTAATTCGATACAAAATCAAAATAATTAGGGTTATTTTTCAAATAATTGATTCATTGAGGAGCTGTTGCCACTGATACGTCACACCATGTATTAAGATGTTTTCGTCACTGAGATAACTTTCCATTTTAAACTCATGCTTCACCGATAATGTATTGCCTCACCAATCTGACTTGCATAACAATAGAAGTCCATCGAACTGTTCGCAAAACCTCATCTAGCATATGTTTCGTGTATCCTCTGTATTTTAAAAACTGAATCGACTAACGATACAGTTTACGTTTTTGATATTCGAATCGTTAGTACCTCAAAGTAACTAATTATGTTGTCATTGGTACCACCCTGTTTTTAGTCGTTTACTAGAAACCATTAAAATATGAAATTAAACTTTTTAGGGAAATTCTTAATGTATAGTTTATAGATAACTGTTAAGTTTGTTCTCATTCTCATTCATATAGAAAAGTATAAAGTTTTGGTTTACCCATGTTTTGTGCCAAATTAACTTTATTTTTATTCAAAATACTTTGGTTTCAATCCGGTATACTAATCATTTCATACTAAACGAATTCAGCCTATTTTATAATATTTTGTGGCCTATTGTAAAAATGAAGACAAAAAAGAATTTCGATAATTATGACACCTTACCAATATCCCAAGTTTGCATTTTTGCTTTAATTCATTGCTTCCTTAACGTGTAGTCGATTTTTGAGTACATTGATAAAAATGGGTGTATAATCTTTCACGTATTTAGACAAACGCTACTCAGGAGTGTGAAGACTTAAAGTATGGTGAGGCAACTCAGTCCTTACTTTTAGATCCAACTAGGAACTTGGAAGAATTCATCATGAAACCTGCTCCTCAGGTAAATGTAACAGAACTATTTTATATTGTCAATTATCCAATTATTTCCAAATTGCAATTGTTATGTTCAATCATTCAACTTAGCTACTGTATATAGCCCATACACCTACTTGTCCTAAACTGGAAAGGAAGAGAAAAGGCAGTACTCTGTAGAAAGCCATATTACGGACTAGATACGAGACAACTCAGATGTATTTAGATAAATTGATCCTAGAATTGACACATGGGTATTGGATTTAGCTAAATATATGATAGGCTTACTGATTGTAGGTCAGCCTCGCTTAAATCGGACTTACCATATGGCTTTTCTGTTTTCATTTATAATTATGGACCAGAGGTGGGAAAATAGCGGTGTACGAGATTATCCGTGAAAGCTGCTAAGTATGAGATAATTTGAACGTGACACTTTTTACTAAAATCTTGAAACATTTTATCCGAATGACTTATTTTGCTGTCTCAAACAAAATATTTCCTGAATACAATGGACCAGTAAAAAACTACATATTCATACTCATTTTGTTGATAATGCGATACTGTTAACACTGATAATTGTGTAATTAAATGTTAGTCTTTTTAATGGTTGATGTACTTCAGTTTATTAATTGAAAATATACGAGCATTCTGTATGTCGCCCCCGCCTATTGCTCTACCTGTAATCATTGAATCACTTCACAAAAACCTATGCCCACCTCTATTATGTACGCTTCACTTTGGCTTCCAGAATTTTATCATTGGGAAAATTGGTTAGTTAATTGGAATCAGTTAAAATAAAACAACACTTAAAAGTTGACTTATATTACCCTAATATTTGACAAGGGTAATCGTTCACCACATACTAGTTATTACAACGTTAACATATACACATGTGGTAACTCCATATCATACTATTTTGTGAAATGATGAACTGTTACTTCTGAGCTGCTAGATCTTCAGTCAATCGTAAGAAAATCCAATAACATTGTTTCAAATTCTTTTAAATTGAACTTTCACTACCATTTCTTACAATTTAATTGATGTATTATGAATACCATGACTTGTGTTTGGAGTCCGTTTTATTTTTCTCTGTACATAGCTCATGATCAGTAATACAGATTTATTTTGATGAGCAAAACCTGTTCAAATTCACATGCTAATAATTTCAGTCCCAAAAGATACTATCGTATCTGATTCTCCAGAAATCTTCAAGTTCTAAAAAATAAATGATAATTCTCAATAACCGCACCAGTCCATTTTGATTATCTGTAGTACTGTGGTGTGCCACTTATATTGACATAAGTAGTATATGATGTTAGTCGTGAACAGAAGATCTGGCAGCAGAGACAAGAGGATCGAACAGTAAAGAGTGGAAACAAAATGCAGGAACAATGAAGTATGAGTCGTTTTGAGACGACTGGTGGACATTTTGCAAATTAAGCATTTACTTTATGATTGTTAGATTTTATTAACAAGTCCTGTAATTTTGTGTTAAATACATTCAATTGTCCCCACCCGTGTTCTGTTCACTACAGTACTTTAGAAGCTACAATGGCACAACAACCACTTGTCTTGAGTGTAGATATGAAATTTTTGATTCATTTCAGGATTCTCGAAATAACATTTTATCGTTTGTAATTCAGAAAATGCTTGTATCTTAATTTCCAATTAATTTTTTGACTTTAAAGGGTGTGACCATACGTTGTCGTATTACACGAGACAAACGAGGTGTCGATCGTGGAATTTTTCCATCATATTATCTTCATCTTGAAAAAGAAGACTGTAAGTTCTTCTTACTTGCAGCCAGGCGTCGCAAGCGATCAACAACGAGTAACTATGTGATTTCTTGTGATGCCACTAATTTATCTCGTGATGCAATTAGTTTTGCCGGGAAACTGCGCTCCAACTTTCTGGGTACTCATTTTACTGTGTACGGCTGTGAATCAAAATCACGAGATAGTGAATCCTTAAATTCAGGGGACAAGGTAAATGATTCTGGTTCGATAACGACAACTACTAAGACACACAATATGCTAGAGCTTGCTGCAATCATATACGTAAGTTTTATTATCAGTACCTGTAGACCTGATTACGTCACGAATCCTAGAAACTGGTTTTTGATGAGCAATGGTGACCAGCAGAGGAGTAGGTCTATAGATGCTTAGGACCTACCAAACAGAAAAGTGGGATTAATCCATAAATCCGTTGACTGTTGAAAGCAGCCATGTCAAGTGATGGAGGTTTCAGGATAGATTATGCGAATTTCTCCAAACATATGGGTGGGGAACATAGATAATGAATTTTGATTGATTTCATTTGTCTCATTCCTGTTATATTCCGTGTTTTTTGTGTTGTCGATTTCTTGCCGCTCTGTGGACGAGAAAGTTTGGTAAATTGAGCGGAAATACATTGAGTCAAGTTCTCATTATTTACCTCAAACTGCTTTAGTAAGCTTGTCACAAATATAACGGATGATAATGAAAACATGACCTTGAAGCAAATGTTCAAAACATGATTAGCAAAAATGTACTAAAAACCTTTTTTGAGCTTAACATAGATGAACACTTCTGTATCCCCATTCAGATAAAAAGATACAGTGAACATTATATCTACACTCCATAAAGCAGCTTTAACATGTGAATTTCGTAAAATAACAGGATGTTATAGGTAATACTTCAGCCAATAATAAGTAACTGGTTATTTAATTGTGTAAGTTTTACGAATGTGTATGAATGAAGAAACATTTTATTAGCTAAAACGTTAAGGTTAAAATGACTGTTTTTCAAATATTAAGTGCGATATTGTCTAAAAAGTCTTTAATAATAATAACTTTTTGTCCGATTAAACATAGAGTCTACTATCAATAAACCAGCTTTCATTCCACAATCCTGGAAGTGATTTTCTTGATATTGTACCTTTACTCGTTTTTCTCAGGATACAAACGTACTGGGTTTCAAAGGACCAAGGAGAATGACTATTATTTTGCCGCGCTTAAGTGCTACTTGTCAGCATTTTTCATGTCCTGGAAATGTATGTCCTTAGTCAATATACCATTTTTAAAAACTCAATATCGAAATAATATTTTTGTGATAATAAAGTTTTGTGCAGGTTGTTATGTTTAAAAATGACACTATTAGCATGCGAAATGTCGGTCTTATTGGAATAACCATTCCAGAGTTAACTCTTTCAATTCGTAATCTGGTGTCGTTAATTTCCTGTAGAGCTGAACTCACTCATTTATATTTAAATGGTGGTTAGTGCCACTTTTTTAACCACAGTCGGCTAGTATGTTATAGCAACGAGACATTCGTCGTCGCTGGTGCTCGATATTACTATGTATTGTTGATTTTTCTCTTTACATGAATATAATAATTGTCTAGTCACATCTCGTTTATAAATACTTATATTGAAGTTCTAGATTATTATCTCTGAATTTATACTTACTCATGCATAGACGTATTCTTATTCAGTTATTTGAAAGGTATAACGTAATCGATCTATGCCTATTTTGTTCAATAATCAAAATTTAGTAATGAGAACTGTAATTCTACGCTGCATTGTACGCACTTATTCCTAAAGTAGTTCATGCTTCAGTTTAGTTCCTTTTTATAAACATCTCCGTTGATTCATCAAGCGTGATTTTCAAATTAACAATAACACTGGCATCTTTAATTAGCAAATATTCCTTGTTCATTTAGGATACTACCTGGCTAATCGACTCATGGCGGAGAAAAGATATGCAGAACGTTCTACAACTACAAAACAAGAATCCTGTTTGGAATGAAGGTAAGGCAACATGTATATTGATTCATCCTTCAAAACGGTATTGTCCAAAAAACGGAGCATATTTCTTGTTTATCGTTTACTGGCCGAAAATAGTACATTTAATTCCTTGTTGAAAATTAATCGTGATCCAAGCAAAAACAAACTGTGGTCTGTAATCATAAGAACGACTGTACGATTGGGCATTCCTGAGATATAATGTTGTACTTTATGAATAATGTTTATAAAACTTATTTATGAATTCTCTGTCATAATACAGTAGTAGTGTAATGTTGTGATAAACGCTGTTAACTGGTGTATTTCAGTCTATTGTATACGTGAGATGAAATTCAATGAGTCGTTGACCACCTCAAATATATCTGTCAGTATTTATTTGTATATAGCAAAAGATATCACTCAGGAAATTAGTGATTGAAAAACAAAGACCCCAAACTTTGTGAACCTGTTTATCCAAAAGGTATTTTCACAGCTGGCATAAAAGTGTTAGCTATTGGAGTCCGAAAATTGGGTACATTAAGGCATCACTAAATATGTTGAACGTAATAGTAATGTTCTACAGCATCTTTTCAAATGGCTTACACGTCAAAGTATTTCCAGTCTGTCAGAATTGATTGACTATCGTCATGATGTTGTAGAATGCTCACCGAAATCTAATGTTCACACTCAGAGCATTTTCATGACATGTCTTTATTCGTCGTTTTCGATATATCTATTGATTGTATTCTTTGTCATTCAGGTAAGATTGAAATTCTTTCGTGATCGGTTCAAGTTCGTACGATTTCAGATAGAAGTAACGGAAATGCACGATTTCTCTTACCAGTTCAGGGGGGCATTTTATATCTTAGTGTACATGAGAAAGGTTCGAATGGGTCAGAACTGACATCCATAATACCTTTTTCATTTCAGATTGCTATAATTTGTGTAAGGACTGTTTTACCCTCAAAAGTCCTATACAAAAGTATGTTGATTTCTTGGATGACTACTACTACTCCCGGATCTCACTTGCGTATCAAAGGGATGTCAGTAGAACGTTATGATCTGGTTTTGTGGTAGTCAGTCGTCTAAATGGATTGGAACTTCATTTGCACCATCCAAATTCACTTATTTCCCACTGATGGTTCAAAATTTCAGTTGACCAATTCTTTGATGAATCGTTAATCTCCGTTAAACCACTAACAAACTTGCGCTTCCCTTTCCTCGTCTTTGCAGAAAGTATGTCTGTTGGATAAAAGTTGCACTTACTTAGCTAAGACTACAAAACTTTAGCTGTTTGTAAGTAATTCGATTTAGAAAGTTATATTTCCTGTACGTGTTAGGGCCGGATATGTTCTTCTACCATGGATTTGCTTTATTTATAATTCCTTCACGTGTTTTCGTAAAAAAGTTAGTGGAAAAAAATCTGCACGTTGTTTATCTCATCAGAACTAAAAACCTTTTATGTGGTTTGAAATGCCAAACTTTATTGGCCAACTAGATAATCGATCCTTTAAACTGCTGTCATGGGATATATAAGCATGTGGAACAAATTTTCATGTCTTTGTGAATGTCCTTCTTGACGACTATATTGTCCTAGGATCTCTAACTGTAAGCAAAAAGCAGTCCTACCTATCGAATTCTTATGCAAGTTTCAAGTAATTGTGAGAACTAACGACTGAAATGTCTCTCCAACTTTTTTAATTGTTCGAATCTTCTTGGTAAACAATCGTAGCTAGATAATAAACAATAACAAGATAATCTCTAAATACTTGTTCATCGTCATTTGTATAGTTATATTAAAGTTATGAACATACTAGGTAGCATATTTGTATGCAGAATAAGTTATTAAAATTGACCGATGTACATATGTGCCTGGTCCTACCTTGTAGCTGACTGACTTACAGTCAAGAGTTATTGAAATCAATATTATGCTCTGTGTGGGTCTGATATGCGTCAGTTTACAGGAGATTTAAGAGCTGATTGTTACTCCTTGATTTATGAGTGGATCTCCAGAAATTTGTAGTTTCCAACGTATCAATAGAAACATGGACTGTGGGACCCTCTCTGATGCTTTGCTGAAAGCAACATAAGATACATACACAAGTTCACTGTTATCTAGGGACTTCATCTTTTAGTGAGGAATAAGTTGTTCTACCGTTTTTATAACGATATGATACGCTGATTATTAATATTCAGGGTTTTAAGATCACAATAGTTTTTCCAAAGGAACTATTTCGTATTCCGATATCGGTTTTCCGAAGCCACACAGTATTTATATTGATGGGTGATGTCTATATCCTATTTTACGGTGACTGTGGTATCCATTTATTCCTGTGATAAATTACCTTTATGAAGAGGTCATTTCATCATTGCTGCCCATTGAGCAGCTACGTACATTGTAATTTGGACTGTAGCCCATCTAGTCCTTAGTTACTCTCCTGTTTATATATAGTATACTGTCTTTAGTACGTTGTTCCTATTAACTTCCATAAAAAGTAACATTCTTTACAGTAGCTTCTGGATTGTTTTAGGGATTAACTGATGATCCATCGAACACGATGCGTCCACCTTTTTGGATTGACTTAGATGCTCATATTAAGCAACAGTACTAAGAGTACCAACAACATAATGGCATTCGTCTTTTTGAAACGGTCGGATATACAAAGAATCCGGTCACCAAGTTTTGCAGTTGTCTGAAAAAAACACTGGAGCTCCAAGTGATTTCCACCATATCAGTACTTTATAGATAAGTGCAACAGCGAAGAGCAGGATCTGTTTGTAAAACAACTTTGAGAGCGTCCTAAATACTATACGTGACCTCTTGAGCAGAAATCTATCGTTTGTCGGAATTTCTAACAAAACCTACACCTATAACAGAAACTAAGGTGAAATAACTGTCTACCTAAGTAGCCTCTGATCCTTATATTGTAGTTCAAAAATGAGTCAACGAAACTGTACAAGTTTATCCATCGCACCTCTAAACATCACGCATGACGGTCGGGCGGAGAATGGTAACGAACACTAAGGAACCCTATCCTCGCATGCTGTGTCATTAAACTGGGGTAGATGCTTAACACTCAAGGTTATCTAGCAAGTGCTATCCCATGTTCTATTTCTTACAATTTCGCTCCTAACATACTGTTAGCCATAAGAATTTAGAAGAATGAAGCTAGTCTTCGTGTCCATTGTTTGTACGACATTTTCCTAACTGACTAGCTTTTGTATCTATTTAATTACTAACAAGCCACGATTATTCTTTTTGTTAACATTAAATTTAGTTACCGACTCATATTTTCTTAATTGATAATGAATTTATATTCAATTATAAAGCCTTTCTAACATTCGGTTAAGGTGGAATATTTGTCCCCTTTCGAAATTTCGTTAAGGTTATTCACTTGAGCTGTTTGACTAAGAATCTTATTTACGAAGCTGTGATTACAGTGACTTTGTTCACCGAATTGAAACATGTTAGTTTATCCCAGATGATACCTGTAGCCGCTGTTTACGCATTCAGTTCAACATATGCATTGTGTTGATTACCAATTGATCTTAAAAGACCCCACTGCCAGGTTGGTTAATATTTACTAATACATAGACTCATTCTTCTTCGCTTATACATTTTCAGAGACCCAATCATACGTGCTCAATTTTCATGGTCGCGTTACGCAAGCTTCGGTGAAGAACTTCCAAATCGTACACAGAAGTGACGGTAAGATTCCAATCACATTTCTAGAAAAGCCTTTCATGTCAGTCGTATTTCAAAAACTTTCTTGGTTCAATCATGCCACCAACGAAGTCGTGAAGGGATTCGTTGGTTCCATCGTACGAGTAACTTTTTGAGGGCATACATGATCATCCAACCCCATATGTCAAAGTTCAGAAGCAATATCTCTAACATATAACACGACTGTAGGAAATCAAAAAATATCCTTACATTATTGATTTTCATATTGTAGGATTTTCACATGAAAATACACTGTTAATAATACTAGCACGTAATCACACTTAAGTTGGACTACAATGATTCTAACATATTTCTGACAAAGTTGAATGACTGACCGTAGGTGACAACAATATCTAATTTAGCTGAGGTGACCCGACTGCTGAAAAACCGTAGGGGACAGACGCTACTATAGAAAGTCAGTCGGCGGGACTAAATGGTGTCTTGAGGAATAACTAACCGAACTTACATGTCGACAATCATATTCATGTCTATTAAGCTTGACGCACTTTCAGTATGGCCGGGGGTGAGGAGAGTCAGCTTTCCCTCTCGAAATTTTCTTATATAGCCACTGTCAGGGAAGTCCTTTTCATTGCCTTCTCGCGGTGGGGGTGTTGTCAAAATTTGTTTGCTAGTCTTAAACCCAAATTCTACCGATCAACACTGAAGCTGGAATATCACCTCTCCATCAAAGTTTATAGGTTATCTACAGGTTTGTTTTCTGTTTCGATTGCATTCGAGCTGCAGCCGAGGGTCATGAGTTTCGAACTTTGAAAACGTCGTTTATTCAAACAACGCATTACATATTAACTAGTATCTGCTCTGCAATAGTTCTATAACATAATAATGACCATTAAGAATAAAAGATGTTCTTAGACCACTAGTATTCGATCGTAGGTGTTTTCGAAGCATTCCTCTTGTATTTCGTGACCACTGACTAAGCAATGCTTTGGCTAGAAACACGGTACTAGATTAGGATGGTAAGTCGATTGATGGGGTAGCAAATCTTAAACAGGTGGTTGAGATGTGTGACGTAAGCCCGACCACAGCCTACCTCGACGGGAGATGTGTGGTGTGAGAGTAGACCGGAGGGGAGCTAGAAGTGGACCAACTGAAAGCATGACATCAATCCATAAAATCATCGACGACTGGACGGTTGTATAGACTACCTGGTTGGCGTCCGCCTGATTGTCGTAACTAATAGTTACAGACTTGGAGTGACCTAGCTGGAAACCGTTAGCAGTGGCACACGTGCATCCATTCTTTGTCTTCCTTCAATTCTAAGCTTTTGGATTCCGTACAACTTTTCTATTTCACTAATTTATATTTCCTTCAGTTCCTGATTGTTCGGTTACTAATGTTACTGTTACTAACACTATCCTGAGATTCGACTTGACAACTTCATCTCCGTGTTAATGAGGTGTGGTAACTTGGACCGATGTAAATACGTACCAGGTCCCACGTTTATTTTACAATTGAGAACTTGAATTATTTTGAAATGAATGTTGCGCGTTAACCATGGGTGGATATGTTAAATTTGGTATACGAATGGACACCATTAGATCTATAGGTATGTTAGTGGCTGGCACTACCACTGTTTGCACTATCGAAAGTTATTTCTCGTCAAGCTTGTAACAAAAGAAACTGGACAAGTTTTGGTATTCTCACCTTCATGGTCTCGTTTTCCGTTAACAGCATCACTGATAATTTGTTTACAAGAACTGTAATACAACTACTCAAACGATTATCTGACGACGATCCTTTAGCTCTAGATTTTTAATTCTTATTATTTTGGGAATTCATGATACAAACGTTTTAGTATGTATCATATTGCGACATGGTAACGGCCGTGACAGATTTTACGTAACTTTTGTCACCAAACTGCTTGATTTCTACCAACTTAATTCAGATGTCATCAACTTGGACTGTCCAAGTACATATACTGACAACAAATTGTTTTGTGTTATCTTTTTTAGATGAATACATACTTATGCAATTTGGACGTATCTCTGAGGACGTCTTCACAATGGACTATACGTATCCTATGTGTGCCCTACAAGCATTTGGGATCGCTTTATCTTCCTTTGATAGTAAATTAGCATGCGAATAGCTATCTTTGCATTTATTACGAATTATGACTTTACAAGCTTTATGTAGACTACTAAAAATGGAGTCTACTTATTTTTTGCCAAATTATATACTTTCCCACAGCACATACCAAATTCTCAATATGAAATATTCAACCTTTAGCAACCTCAATAGCCATAAGTTCTGCCGTTATGTCACTAAAATATCCTATTTACATAGTCTGTAACAACCGATTTTACATCCACTTATATTTGTACATCATGTAAACCTAGATCTGAGCACAAAGATCCTATTGTTGAAACACGGATAACTATAAAAACAACTATTCTAAAGTAATACTCAGTAGTTTAAAAATTGTTTGTAAATGTTTCCTAGTTGTCTAACTTGGTTTTTAGTAACTCTTCTTACTTGATCATACACTACATCAAATAGTATTTGCAATAGACATACGATTGCAAAACGGTTCAGTTTACACAGCTAATTTTGAATCCTAACTGCTTATAATTGTTAACTATCATCTGGCGATTGCATTGACAAATTACAGATCATTGTATTTTTTCGGCTTACTGTGAAAAACGAAGATGTTAGTTCTAAAATGTAAAATAGCATGAAAGTACAAAAATGTATTAGGTTGACATTTGAACCGATTAGTTTGAATATCGCTAAGGAGTATTGAAACAGAAAGCTTTAGACTTGCTCGACTATTAAGCTAAGTAGTAAAAACTGCTTTAGTTTTTCTGTAGTTGTAGTGTTAATTTAGAGATATTTTCGATGTACATCGGTATGCTCCACATACAGTCTCCATTTGCTTCGGTGTCTAACACAATAAAAACTAGATGCTATAAACTAAACATTAGTAACGTCTACCATAATACTTAAATTTAATATAGAAACAGGAATTTTCTCAAGTTGCTTTACTTCATGAGGAAGTTGATACTAATAAGGAAACTAATAAATCCCGAGTTGTTATGGCTATAATGTCAACTAACTGGGCTGGAAAATGATTTTCCAATGAAATTTGGATTTAAAACCTACCTCACGATAAAAGTTCAGGGAGTATCACTACCCTGACAATAACTACAGTAACTTATTGGTCAGAATACTAGTTAATACAGCTACATAATGACCAAAACCGACCGATTTTCGACGACCCTAGGGACTTATGTCCGATTGCTGACAGTACACGTCGGTGGCGTCGTTTCAGACATGGCAATCCAAAATATTTGTCCAGTTCTCTGCCTCGACTATTATGGCTAGTATGTTATGCGGCGATACAAATATTACGTGGCGATAAAGTAATGTGACCAAGATTATATATGTATATATATATGACGTAGGCTAACCATAATTTAAACCATTAACAAGCGGTTCAACTACCCGTATGAACAAATATCTGAACCCATGAACTTGAAGAAAAAACGTCTAATTGCAAGATTATGACTGATTAGGCTAAAATGTAGTTACACAGCAAAGTAGGTTTATAATCTCACGGATAACCAAAATGTGTGCATGCTCATAACTCCTACGACTGAAATATTAAACGATGATGACAAAAGATGCAATGAACTTACACTGAATCTTTTTGCGATCTCAGAGAGCTTGTTCGACCCAAAATCAAAGGCGTACTTAAGGTTAGATACAGAGCCACTAGGGAAAGAAACAACGGTTGCAACAGAACCACATATGGATGCGTAAACCAACTTGCGAAAAGAACGGCCTGTAACGGTTAGTTTGAAAACACAACTGAACTCACTTTTATATCCAAGAACCCAGCCTCCCAAACTACAACTAACAACGAATCCTAGACGAGCTAATACAACCGGTTCATCCCTTATTACTTTGGTTATAGCTAATTCCGAAAATATGTAACATGAATGACGTACATGCGGTGAGATTTCTAATGCTTGATTGGTACTTTAATGCGTGCTTCTGAAGATCAGTAAATTAAAATCTGGGACGAACATTACCATCGAGTACGTAAATAGTTCTTGAGCTTCTGTCCTTATAGGACTAACAGAGTTCATAACAGTATTTGTAACTGGGTTTGGCTCTAATCTCTCAAGAACATACGTCTTACTGTCGAGACACTCAGCATAGATTGGCAACTAGGGTACGTTAATGAAAAAAATTCTAACCTCCTCCAATTTCATGATTACCGCCGAACTCTGCGAACTAAACACTTTCAAAATACTTTATATAAACAGAGTACATAAAACTATTAGCTGTAAGTGTTGTATTCTTTGCACGCGCTTCGTTGTAAAAAATCACATTAGCGATTGTTAGTTTGATTTATTCATTTTTCCCATGTTCTTTTCGATGGACTATAGGACTGTTAGAACTTAGAATATTATATTAACAGTAGCTTAGCTAATCTTAGTCAGAATAACGGGATATGAAGAATGTCTGATTAGGTGTGAATGAAAAGTGAGGCAGGATTGAAATGATAATTAAGGCAAATACGTAAGTGGGGAGATATGAAGAAATATCAACACATGTAACATTGGGTGGGGGGAGGCTGGTCACTCCAACTTTATCCTACTCTGTGATTTCACTAGTCATCCCACCTGGCTGAGGGAGGTTCGTGTGCTTTTGTATGCTCGTCTAATACTTGCTTGCAACGGTCCATCGAAAAGGCTATAGGTACGATGGTTATGAGGGCGTTTCATGTAGAACAGATACATGATGCATAAACTGAGGTGTTACTTTGGTATTTTCCTATTAGTGGACAACCCTGTGAGGATTTTCAAGTGCGTCACTATGATGACGCTCTGGTAAGATTACCTTGCTGCAATGGTCGGAGCAGGTTGTGATGTCACCCTTCTGTCTTCTGTAGGTTAGTGATTTTATTTATTTAGATACACAAATATTGGCAAAACTGAGCACCAAAGTAAATCGCTCACAGACAACAGTCCTAACTCTCTCATCGAATTCCCACATAATAGGGGCCCTGGAATTACAACCCCTTTGATCGTGTAACTCTGTACTATTTCTTAATCTCGAACTATCAATCAAAGTCAAGTTGCGAGAACCTTCTGCATGCATTAGGATGTATTTTAGTAAAATGGAATTTGGTTACCTACCGAAATATGACAACGCAGGTTGTGCGTAACTCGGTCAGATAGCTAAAATCGTCTTAGAAGTAAATCCCTTGATGAGATGAAAATATTCAGCTATTCGTGTCTACCCTGGAGGTACTATCAGTACTGGAAAACGTGCAGAGAATAGTGGAAATTTGGAAGGATAAGGAACAAGAGATGTGAGCCAAAAATTCAGTAAGCCCGTACATAGGATGCAGTCAGTTTTCAGGAGTAAGGGTAAGAGGTCAAGTGACCCATGTTAACCATTGAGATTTATAGTACTGTGAAGATACAATATCTCTTCGAATGTATCAACAAGTTCTGATACTACGTTTTCTGTCAGAGAATTCCAGTAATTAACAACTCCAGATTTAAACGACTTGATCTTGGTTTGGAACTATCTGAGAATATCCTTTCAGACTACCTGAAAAGAAAGATAGAACATATTAGTACAAAAACCAATGTTTAGTACATTGTAATACGTCACCCCACGATCTACTGTCGGATAACAGAAATGGGTTGAAGCGTCCCAGCCTATTGATAAGACAAGTCAGAAAGACTGCAGTTTTGGTTCCTCGTCGTTAAACCCGTCGCAGAATATCCGTTTCATATTTGGAACAACGATTCGTTGACTGAACTCGGTATTTCAAACGAGGTCTCACATACGTCGGGCAGAATATCCTAGATGTATTTTTCTCCAAGTTATGACAGGCTTTACGGATTACCTACAAAATAAGGAAACTTTTGGCAGCGCCATCTTAGTTACCCATGATTCTGTGCTCATTAATTGCTGTGGCTTTTAAAATAGTATTATTGATGTTAGTTGAAAGCACTTCATCTATTATCTACTTGCATAATTCGTCACAACGATCTATTTACCATACCATGAGCATGCTAGAATTTACTGCTAACAAACACCAGTCTCCAGCCTTCACATATTCTTACAATAACAAAGTGCTGTTTACTCTCACACGTTGCCTCCTATCACTAAGAAATTCATCAGTCTGATCTTGATGTATAATCCATTACGAAGCCTTCCCACTTTGCTCAAAGACCCAAATGAGAGATCTAATCAAAGTTTTTACTGAGGTTCATAAAAATTACATCTACCGGAATATTTTCGCCTTTTGCTAAAGCCAAACCTAATTTCGGAATCAGATTAGCCAAACATGAAAGATGTGTTCAAATATAATAAACAAATAACATGAAAGACGTGATCTAAGAGCCTGTCGTCCTTTAGACAGAAAAACATTCCTTCCTCATGACGTAGAACACCAGCCCAAATAATATTTTTCATTTATTTTACCAAAACAATAGTAAAGTTAACCTAGTGGTAGCTATTGTTAGGAATAAAACAAACATACAAACTAGGAGTGAGTAATATTTTTCAGTCAAGTCAATTTATTTATTTACTATGAAAATCATACTGCATGTTAGATTATTGACTAACTTTAGTTACTTTCGTCCAAATTTATTCACTGACCGAACATTTAAAATGATATGTAACTCTCATTGTGAATGTATTAATTAGTAACTGCTGAATAAAGCATCCTTCTGTAGTCTTATTTTCTTTCTTGTTACCATACCAGTCTTGTTTATTTCAATAAGTAGCGAGTGGTAGTTTGTAGTCACACTAAACAGTCTCCAGACTACTCGTTCTGACACACCCGTTTTCCTCTTGATTCTATCTTCCAGTTACACCGGCGTATTGCTATTATCTTTCTCCTGAGAACAAGTTAACTTGAGATTTTGTTACTCAAACCCTAGGAACCTTAATAAGTATACGTGGCGGGGAATCAGTACTACTATAGGCTCTCTTGCTTAAACTTATTAGTTCTTGACATGAGTACCTGATGAATAAGTCGGGAATAGGAGACAGACAAACAGCTCAACTTAATATGAAGCATATGAAAGTCTAGATTCAGGATCCGAGTCACTCGACCCCTCCAAGCTCCACGCAATAGTATCAGGAACAATTTGACCTTTCCTTCTTTGCCTCTTCTATGATTTCTATTCACCATCAACTGTACCTTTCATGATATGACTCTTTAAGTCACTAATATATCTAGATTCTCTGTCGAAGTGACTCGAGATATAACTTTCACATAAGATTAGCTTGCTGTTCTATAAGAGTTCGTTCTTTATCGAAGGCTCTCGGTTTTGTAGCGCTTATCGTAGTTTTACTAATGACGATAAAATAATCTTTGTTATCTACACTAGAATTTCTAACCAGAGCCTCCTGGATCAGTAATGTTTTACACGAATAGAAAAACAAACAGCTACAAGCACTGGTTATAAGCAGTATAAGAGCGGACTTGTGAGTCTTTAAACTACCTTGTCAGATTCTATCAAGCTATTCAGAAGGCAGTAAGTATAAATGAATAGCTTAGCATCTCCGTTATAGAACTTAAGATATGGATAGAGATCGGAACTAAGAATTAGGACTTATGTATACATAAATGATGTAACCAAAATTCGGTGCAACCATAACTATATATTTGGCCAGCAACTTTTTATCCGTTTTTGTATTGATCCTTACACGTTAATACAGTGAATTAGTCTAAGCCGTGTTTTTCAAGCCCAGTCTGGAAAAATTCTCCCTTATATATAAGGTTAGCAGATCAACTTCTGCACAAGAAGTTACATATTCACTTGATACACTATACAACTGTGATGCTGGTTTATGAGTAAAATTATAAGATTTTGACTTGAATATCATTAGTACTTCGGAGAGCCTAGTCAGTCGAAAATCTCTAGTCTGGTCCGTCGTTGAATGATAGTTGATTGATAAACTCATGACTTCCAGTTAAGTTATAAGAAAATAAATACTACAAGTCTAAAATAGAAATTTCATTCGTAAAGTCCGAAATATCACTCAATGTATAAGTCTAATAATAATTAGGATAGCAGTTTTTATGAAAAATCTTCAATTTTTGGGTTTTCCGAGCGCAAATCTCAATGTACCATGTGAAGCAAGATAACACTCAAAAGTCCAAGAGTATGAAGGAACCAATGTCAAACTTTGGTTGGAACAAGTGCACTAGAAAACTAGTAAAACGGATGAAATTCTCAACAATTTCTGATAATCCGTTAAATGTCTGGTTTCGTTTGTAATGGTACCTAAGAATAGGTAGCCGAATAAATGCTGTTAAATGCTAGCATATAGACTGAAGTGTTACAAATGATGTAGAATGTTTCAATATAGGTTGGTGGGTTAAGCTGACATGCCACAAGACACCTCTGTTATAGAAACAAGGGGATAAGTTTGGGTATATTAAAATATGAATGATGTCGTTAAAACTCGAATATTCAATGTAACATTTTACATGCTTGCTGTGCATATGTATTTAAATAGGTTAAGGAAGACAAGTCACAATTATATAGGCGGATGAATCAAGAAGTGTATAAACGGAAGAGATTCTAAATAATTGTAAATCTCATGATTGTGTACAAAACACTTTAAAGTCTAAGAACAGGATTATCGTGGTAATAGTGATTATGGTATCACAGTCGCAGGTATGAAGTGATAGTCTTTTCTACAGTAATCTGTGTGGTACTGTAAACTCTGGCAGCTCACTGCTTTTTTGTGTCTTACAGTTAGCGGTATACATAAGTCGTTTTTTATTTGTGAGCAGAGTCATGGATCATATATTATTTTGTAGAAAAATATCGGTTTGTTTCTTGGCCGACGGTGCCATTAAGGTTGAACGTAGACTCACGTCCTAGCAGCTGACAAATGAGGCTTCTCTGTATATCGTCTACTTATATCTTGTCTATGGTATCAATGTTTGAGAAGACAAATGAGCAGTATTCAAGGAAGGGTCGTATACTTTTGTGATCATCCTCGATTACGAAGGAATTTTCGATGAGATCCATTGGTCTTCTACATTTAGAAATAGTCAGTGAGACATGTTCCGCAAATTTAAGGCTTCTGGGGTAATTTGTACTTAGATCATCCACTGAGTTTTGTGGTTGAACTCTATATTTATTTGTTTAAAGTATCGGTTTATGGAGATGTCTTTCGTAATACATGATTCTGAACTTGAAGTGGTTAAATGGTAATCACCGAAGTTCTCTTCGGAAGGCCAGGTTGTCAAAATCACTTTGAATCTGAAACATACTGTCACTTAAGACCATTTACTAATTTGAGGCCATCAACGCTTAAACATGGTCT